TTTCGTTTGCCCCTTGACCTATAATTTCCTTGGACTTTGATAATTATCTTTACTTCAAATAAAATGGTCATGCGAGTTAAGCTTGTGATTAGGTTTGAATTTATAGCCTCGCTGAGCCGATTTTTTAGATTTTAGTTCATAACATTTAGAAATGTTAGTACTTAATTAGTACAGTATTTTCAAACTGACATTATGATAATTTAATTTTTTATGTAGTAACACCAATAGGAGTTGCGTGTAGTTGAAGTGATGAATCTCTCACAAAGGGATGTCTCAATGTTAGCATAAAAAATTTTATGCATGCACTTACCCCAATCTTGTTAGAAACTCATTTTTTTAGGAAAAAAATATAATTTTTTATCCCTATAATTTTATCAATTTTTTTAATTTTTATAATTTTTTTCAGTGTTTTCAATCCTTATTGAGACTAAAAATATTGAAACTATAAAAACCTAAAAAACAAACATCACCCAATGTTTTTGAAATTATAGGGATTAAAAATACTAAAAAAATAAAATTATAAAAATTAAAAATAAAATTTAATGAAATTAAAGAGACCGTTGTTTTTCCTTTTCTTTGTTAATTTTTTATTCTTTTTTTTTTTTTTTGAAAAAACAGTTGCCCCAATGACCCATGGTTATATATACTACACATTTTCATTGGGCGTCAGTCAAGTTGACATTCTACGTTTGCCAAAAATGACACTTGACAATCATATTATATCTAACTTTGAATTTCACAAAATTTTGGCCGCAAAAGTAATGTTCAGTTAATTGATATGACAAAGTAAACTATAATAAAATTAAAAGTCAGTAAGTCGTAAGTGCTTTTAGCATGGGCCGCGCTACATTGTTAGGAAGGGGGGCATATGTATTCCTTGAGCTTTTAGAAAATTGTGAAAAAAATTCCTATATTCTAATATTTTGCGCCTCCTAATTTAAATATTTTACACTTCATCGTTCAATTTTAAAGATTTTGCATTCAAAATTTTTAAAAGTTATTTTAAAATTATTAATTTTAAAAATGTTGCACTTCACAACCCAATATCCTGGCACCACCACTAGCTTTTAGTCGAAGCATCATCCGTACGTAAATATGGTTCAAGTCAAAATTACGGCTTTCAAGTCATACAGACGATAGGCATGGAATAGCGTTACCAATAAGGTGGAAAAATAGTGTTTGAAAGTTCCTACATTAATTCAGGTAAAAGAAAAAAAAAGAAAAAAAAAAGAAAGAAAGCTCCTACATTAATTGGATTAAAGCTTTCAAGGTCATTAGAGTATAACGTTTCTCCCCATTAAGAAGAAACAGACTAGATTAATTATATGGCTGGAAGTCAACTTTGGATTAGTTGAAGAACCTAACCTGGCCTTCAAATTCAAGGTTGTGACATGACCAAATTTTATTTTTTTATATTACATCTATTTTAAAATGTTATCAGGGGATAACAAATTTTTTGTTCTTTTTAATGTATCTGAGTTAATGGTTTGGTTCCCAAAATTTAATTCTTACCAATCAAATTCTTAAAGTTTCATACACAATTTTGAATCCTTATTGGATTCTTTTAGACTGGTAATTTTTGTTAACTTATGTAAATGTTGTCATCTTTTAAGTTAAAGGTTACAACATGTGTGTAAAGGATTATATTTTTTAAAACCATAAGAATTAATTGTATATGGTTATAAAATTTTAGGGACTTGATTGATATTCCTTCCATTTAAAAATGTAAAATATTTTTAATTAAAACTCACGATTCAATAAAATAGTTAAATGTCATTAAATTAATACCATCTTTCTATCTTTATTCTATGGTATTTCACTTTAAAATAAATATAAAATAATTTATTTATTAAGGATATTTTTTAAAAAACATATTAATTACACTTTAAAACACTAAAAGTATATTAAAATTTTTAACATCTAACAACTCAAAAAATACCTTAAAAGCAAATCGATAATTTTAGAAAGCAAATAAATAATTAAAATAAATTTGAGGATTAAAAATTTTATTATTCCAAATATTAATTTTCCAAAGAGGAATCTGTAAAACGTATTGTTGATGATTATCTATTTTTTTTATAGTTGTGGTAATTTTTGTTACATTTTAGGGAGTCATCAATGAAAATGAGAAGCATTTCCATGCTAAATTGAAGAGTTGCTAATTATGTTCATAGCATGAATTTAATGCAATATTTTGAAAAAATGATTTAAGTTTGTTGAAATTTAAGCAAGGGATTCACTTGTAAAAATTGGTTTGAATAGGTGAACATAAAAAGCTCAAGTAAGGAAGAGAAGAAATTATGGAGGAAGAGATCATGGAGAGAAAGGCTCAATGATACTGTAGTACGAGAGTTTAGGTGCCAAAGTGTCAAAGTCAAAAGAACCAAGTTAGATGGATTGCGTATGATGTAGGTGCCATGGCATTTGTTAAAAAAATAATAATAATTTAAAAATGCACAATTTCATTTTTTATGCTGAAAAACACTACAAGACCTTTTGACCCTTAGAGTTGGAGGAAAACCTAGGAAAGCAAGTCTTGGAGTTTTAGAGCTTGGGCACAAAGAGGAAATGGAGAAAATATGCCTGCAGCCATGATTTATTTGTTTTTCTTCTTCCTTTATCCTGTTAAATTTTGAGTCCCCTTTGTTGTTACAGTATTTATATTAATTATGTGTAGCTGAATCCTTTTGTTCTATAGAATTATGAACCTATATGTGTAAATAACATTTAATTTACTGTTTAATTATTGAAAAATGAAGTTTTGATTATTTATTCTCGAGCTATCTTGTTTTTGTTTAGTGTTTAGCTATCATTAAGTAAGATTTGGGTATTTAGGTTAAACTTTAGAAGAGAAAACTGAAATTGAACTTTAGAAACTAGTAGCCTAGGATTAATTCAACTAATGTTGCCATTAAAACAGGAATGTATTTAATAGACCTAGATAATCCTCATAGGTTTGAGTTTCTAAAGCAATTAATTAATTAATTAAGATAATAATTTGATTTAATTGGATTACTTAAGATCCTTAATAATTGAAAGATACTTTGGATTTTTTTTTTACTCCTTTGAGAGGATTATATTAGAAAGTAAATAGGGGATTAAGAATTTAAAACGCTTTTCTTTTGGTTGTCTTAAACTTGTTCGTGGATTGAAGTTTATTTTAATTGTGAATTTCAATATTTTACTTTTAATTATTCTAAAACCACTCTCTCAATTTTATTAGCTTAATATGAATGAAATTAAAAATTCAATATATATTTATGGTTTTGCTTAATTCTATGAGGGATCAATCATGATTTACCATTAACTATATTTGCAGCAACCTGTATACTTGTGGTGTTTATTAGTTTTTGTGTGCATCAGCTGTTGTTTAAGAAAGAGTTAAACATACATATGTGTTGGGGGAAAAAGTACATATATCCAATTTTCTTCAAAGCGGCCAAATTCAACTAACACTACCTTTTTAATTATTTCTCATTTTTCAAACGTGTAATGTAATAATGCTTGTGTTGCATCAAAATGATGGAGCTAAATTTTCTAGTTTATCAATCACACTATTTATTACATCAATACACTACTCTGTTTTTTAATATAAAAAAATTACCATCTATTCCTATATTTTTATTTGTAACTAAAATTACAAATTTCAAGGAGTATTTATTATATTTTCCTCAAATTATCCTTCAAAAAGTCAATCTTTATTTTTACTAAATAAATTTTCTTTATTAATTATAGGAATAATTTAGTTTAAATTTTAAAATTTCAAACATAATTATTATACTTAACTGTGAATTAATTATTTTCTCCTATATTTGAAAATGAAGGGAGTATAATATATGATATATAAGAAGCTATACTATTTATAAGTTATAAATAATATGATTTGTTTCAATAATAAGCTTTTTATAAAATAATATACACTCTCCCAACTCTCTTAATGTAAAAGGATTATGATTTCTTTTAGAGTGTCCTACAACTAATAATAAGCAACGGAGCCAATATTGCTCCCCTACGTACTCCCCCACTTCCAACCTTCCTTTATATATATATATATATATATATATATATTTCAAAATTTATTTGCAAAAAATAGCCAAATTGATTCATTCCCCAATATTCAAATTACGTTGTTTTCATCCCCCCGCCCCCAATACGTATTATATTCTAGATCCATTATGGCTTCAACTAAATTAAGTGAAAATGAGAGAGAAAGAGAGGTGAAACCTACTTTTAATAATGTAAGTCCTACAGAAATAGGGTTCATATGTTTATATTAATCTCTTTCTAGAGTTTAAGTAAAGTGTACTTTATTAAGGAATGCAAATTCAAGATAATAAGTTAAATTCAATACATAATATTTGAAAGAGGCTCTATAAAAGAAAATATTAAATGGGATCCAGTTATTATCTTTATCTATGTCTCCTTATTTAATTTGCACACTTCAAAGTAAACTTAACTTTATAAAGGAATCCAAATTTAAGATAAAATCAACCCATCTACGTTGTCATTTTAGTCTCAAGCTCTAATTAACTTTATTCAGCTATAGATAGTATTCAAGAGAACTATTATTTTTGGGGAACTTTATTCAGTTTCCTTTAAAAATATTTTAAAAGTAACTTTTTTCACCTATTTGATGGATTTTCTCTTAAAAAAAATATGGAATCCATATTTTGTTTGGAATCTAAATTGAGTTGACGTAAGTCAAATTATTAATTAATATGTTGCTCGTAAATAACGGGTCTCACTCTTTCAAGAAAAACAAAAAAGAGCGTTGATGGGGCCCATTGAAATCCACCAATGCGGTCTCCCTCCTCTTCTTTCTTTAATGTGTTTCATTGTGCTGTGAACGAGTAAAACTTGCATCGATCTCTTATATATCCCTACAGTCCTTGAAGGAAAATATGATTTTTCATACTTTTGAACAGTTAATTATCTCATGAACTTCGAGTCTCTAGCCAAAACGTAGTTATCTTGTTCTTATATTAATATATAGATGCATAATCATGTGGCGGGAACAACCTTATCATGTGGCAATCTGACCCTGAAAACATGTTCTTCCCCAGTACAATTATCAACCTTGACAATCCAACGACTCTTAAATTTTCCCAATCCACTCGCACTGTATCTAGGACTCTCACTAACATTAGTCCCTCCAAAATCTCCAAACCTTGTCACCAGCAATCCTTTTCCTATCGGCAGTAACTGAGTTCTTGTCCCACAATACCCCCAACAAGATGACCCTCCCTGCTCGCATTTCATCGCATTGTACCCCACCACCACTGTCCCGTTTTCCTCTTTCTTCTTCTTCCTCACACACACTGCCTTGAAGATCTCTTCGTGGTTCTCGAGCTCACAGTCGACGACTATGAAGTCCGCGTCCTTACATGGCTCTGATGATGTTAGCAGTTCTTGAGGTTCTCCTACGAGGAACTCTACTTGGCCTGCGATGTCGGTGCCCAGAAGAGTTTTGGTGGGATTAACTTGGTTGGGGCTGCTGGCTATGCAGATGACTCGGCCTTGAGTTTGGTGAGCCGCGGCCACCATGGCTAGTAGGATGGTGCAGTCGGGGACTGATGCTGACGTCACCACCATTTGTTGCGCGTTGCTTCCTGCTGCTATTGCTGATATGAACTCTGTCACGTCTGGTTCTTTACTTCTTTCACTCTGAATGATTTAACAAAAAGTTGAAAACCCTTATTAATTTAGCACAGTTTAATCTTACTGTTTGAGACTCCTAGATACTATTAAACAAATAAGCGATCAAACTAGAAGTGGGCCTGCAGAATAGTTGATACAGCACGCAAAAGGGTGAATAATGCAACTCTCCTGTAACTAATTACACCTTGATGCTATATAATATAACGTGTTGGTGTCGAGTTTATAAATTTTTGAAATACTTATGTAATAGGGATGGGGAGGGAAAAGAAAAGAAAGAGGTACGTGGTACTTCTCAGTGAGTCCCACACTCTCTTCCTCTTTCATTATCTCTAATTTCTTCAATCATTGAAGACATGTCCATCCGCATGGACTCGCTTTTTCTTAGAAGAGGTACTCACAGTCTTGTTAACATCCACTTAAAGAATCAGTATAAACTAAAGAACTAATCTTTAGATATGATCACGATCACTTAAGACCTGCGTTCTGATAAGATAGTGATATGAGAGAGTAGAGGCACGAAGATGCAGAGCTTCTAATACCTTGATCTACTATTTGACAAAATAGAAACCATATATATCAGAAACATGACTGGTAGATGCAGGGAGTTGATGAAGACTGTGTATAGTGGTTAGATTTAGAGGAGATTGAAATGAAATGAGAGAAGAAGACTCACCATTTTGAAAGCAGAAAGGTAGGCTTTGGTGGCGTTTTCAGCAGACCAGGAAGCCATATAGTAGTCTGAAAGGAGATAGAGAGGTGAGTGAGTTAAGATATTGCTGTCTCTTGAACTTATGGATGTTGATGACATACAATGCTTTTCATCGGCTTATGAGGTTGCTGCGCTTATATATCCAACCATTAACTCCATTATTACTTTTCTCCCACATGCTGCGTTTTCTGTCTCTCTAACTACCTCTGCACCTAATTCACTATATCATCATATTGGATATGGCTCTCTCATATATTTATATATCGAACATTCACCTTCTTTATTTATCACTGTAAGACTGATTATTATAATATTAATATCTCTTGATTGCAAAGGATTACTGAGCTTCAAGTTAGGTCCTAACTCTGAGTCTTGTGAACTAAAAAAAAAAAAAATCATTAGCTTCCCCATTTTAGTATCCAGGTCAATGTAGCTTGAGTCCTAATTAGTCAGCAGTATCACATTATTATTTTTATTATTAAAAAGGTGTAATAGTTTATAAATAGAAGATAGATATATATAAAGGTGGAATCACCTATGTGTATGGGTCCCTTATATGGGTTCAATTGAAAAATTTAGATGATAATTCAATTTAAACATTAAAAGTTGTACTGTTGGATTTTCCCCTTATGTTGTGTAGCTTATTAAATGAAATTACATCAAGATTTAAGATAAATGTTCAATCTTCTGATATATTGATTTATAAAACTTATGTGATATATTTCTATTCATATATCTTATGGTTTTATTATTGATTTATTATAAAATGACTTCATTTTGGACAATATTTTTTAATTTAATCGTGAATAATGTCTATCTAAGAAAATATCAACTATGCTAATTAGGTCAGTCAGAAGCAAAGCAATGTTGTTTGGCATATAAACACATGCAAATGCAGGATCAATTAGTAACATGAACAATGCTTTTATAATACGGATTGTCTTTAAATCAGTAGCCCTATAAACCAAACTCGAATACATTGATTAATTAATGATTAACGAGAAACGTTTACCAAATTCCTATGACGCCTTAACCATGAAACATACGTATTTGACTGCAAGTTTAATAAAATTAATAACCAGCATGCATGTGACAGAATAGTTAATTAGCTATGAAATTTTTAGATATTTCATATATGTAACATTGTTTAAAAACTATATGCGTGCGTCCCCTACCTTACACGGAGTTTGAGGTGAGTCATGTTATTTATAATTTACGAATAAATCTGCATGTTTTTGATAGATTTAATGTTTATATAGTTGAATTTGGTTAATGGTTTTTCCGACAGTGTTTCTTCGAAAAATAAATAAATAAGTCACCACTCGCAGTCTAATGATTTGACCATATATATGAATAGGGGTGAAATGTAATTGATTAATTAACCCAATCAGAATATATATTAGTTGTAGTACTATTCATGATTCATAGCTTTATTTAAGTCGTAAAATCTGTACTAATCTTGATAGATTAGTTCTCCTAATTCCAGACTCTTAAACTAATTAACATTGAATTTTTTTTAAAAAAAGGAATGTAATGTTGGAGGAATATATAACAGAAAAACCAGAAAGAGCTAGAGACAGATGCACGGCAACAGACCTAGAAACCCCAATTGAAAAAGGAAGAAAATGAGCTGGCTATGCAGAAGTGACAAGTCCTATTAGATTCCTTGTGCACACAGAAACCCTAACATAGATCTACTTCACATCCCAACTTGTTTCTCATCCCTATAACATCACCTTCCACCTTCACTCAATTCTCTGTCTCTTGGTCTCTTCTTCATTTCCATCTCCATTTGCCTCATCCTCTGGCCAACACACCAACTTTTCCAATTTATAACTACCACTATATATTAACTAAGTCAAGTTCCTTTTCATTAATCAACTTTCTAATTAATTAATTAATTAATTGCAGCACTTTATCATTGCATTTATATTCAGAGACTCGATTCATTATTTCGATTCATTAGCGCGCAATTAGGATCAACTAAAGCATTAGCTGGTTCATCACATTAGTTAGTTAGTTTCAGGTATTCGACACTTTTTGCTATTCTACTCATCTACTAGATCTGTTTTATGAAGTATTGCACATTTTTCTTCTCGAGCATTGCATAAGTTCACTATTACAAAAATGGCTTACTAGAATACTTTATTTTTCAGGCCAAGCTATGGGGGTGCTTTTCGAAACACATCATACCTAGACACTCCCATAGGCTAGGCTATACGAGTGCTTCTAAGTAGAAGTGTTCTTTTAGGATGACATCCAGGAGGACCTCTTAAAAGATGTTGTGAGTTTCACATAGGAAAAGATCACAACAAAAGTGAGATTTACAAGCATAAAAAACTCTTTCATTTTTTATATAAAGAAAAATGGGATTTATAATATGCTAGTTTTTAGGGTAAGTTTTCCCTTTAAACTTGTCTTCATATTAAAACATGAAATTTTAAGATTATGTTTGTTACATGTAAGTATTATAAATTAAAGGAAGTTAGAAGATGATCACTCGTCATAGAAAAGTGATCAAAGGACTCGCATGACACACACACACACAACAGACATTGTATAACAGACATTAATATTTGATTGTACATATACGCAATTATGAAATAATATCTATGATGATAATCAATATATATATATATATATATAATATATAGTGTACAGAGAGAGGGGAAAAAATTGTCCGGGTGTGTTGGCACTTATCCTGTGGCGCTGTCCACTAAAAGAACAAGCTAAGTGTTGAATATAAATTTGTTTTTTCTGCTATAAAGAAAATTAAAAAACAGGACAGTGTTCAATGCTTGGGGTTGCAAGGAAAGAAATGAATGAGAGAACGTGAATTCTGAAAACAAGGTAGAGAGATACGAACATGCACAACTACAACAACAATATAACAATAAATAAAAAGCTCTAATATATATATATATATATATATAGATTCTGCAGATTCAATGATTTGTGTATGGGTCTGTCTGAATACATTATACGAATATGCTAGAATCCTGATATGGTACTTTGTATTGTACCACTATCTTCTTGTCTGTATTAAATTAATTTTAAGAAAAGAATAAAGAGGGAAAAAAAACATATGGTTCCGTGGATTTTTTTTGTATGATAGTTGTTGATACATTGACACGCACGCACGAATACGTACTCAGTATTTCTACCAATGGATCTCTGTGATCTCTTTTGCTTTGACAAGAAAGAAGACAATTCAATGAATGATCGATTTAACACATTGGTTATCCCATGTGATTCATCTATTACTTCTTTGTATATATTCTGTGATCTAAACTTCTCGATCGGTAACAAGGTTAAAGAAATTGCTTACAGAGCCCAAAAATTAAATATAGTTAAAACTTAATTTTACAAATATATTTAATCATCATGTATTTGGAAGAGTAGGCTCTCGTTAGTGAGAGTATGTCAGTAATTTATCAAAATGGTTAAGCCATCTTAGTTTTTTAAAAAAAAAACTTTCGGAATTTTGGAAATTATTTTTATTACGATGATATTTATCTGGTTCATTTTGGTGATTCACTTTGTTAAATCTAAACATGATGATTGAACCGGCCATGGCCAAGTTGGCATTTTGTTTTGCATTCAGCTTCGCCGTCTTAGTTACTATATTCTTCAACTTCAAGGAAAGTCATCTTCTTAATTACTCCAAAGAAATCATATCATGAAGTACTCCTTCTGGTCCCTAATATAGAGCGCCTTGTAGAAACTTTGGGTCATTTTTAGGTACTTAAAAATGGTAGCAGTTATTTAAATTTATTAACTATAATAAAAAATGTAATGTAAATTTGAATTTTTTTATTTAAATAGAGATAAAATTAAAATTAAAAGTTTATTTTATTTTTAAATAAAATTACTAATTTAACTATCTCTGGTTCTAATGAAATAGTTAGAAGTGTACTCTAATTATAGTATGACTGGAAATAGTATATAATTTGCCAATTGGGTTTCAATTCCATTATATTGTTCAAATTGTCAACTCAATCATGCAAGCACAAACAAAATGTGGGCCTGCAATAAAGTGATGGACTTCATTCAGTCTCGAAATATTAGAGTCGTCAAAATAGGTTTATTATATAGGTTAACAGGCTATTTCATTTAAACTATGAAAAATTTCAGCGAGGGATGCTTGCAGGAGTTTAATTTCAAATCAGGAATAATAGAATCTAAAAACACATTGCAAGTACCGATAAACTGAATTAAAAATAAGATTAAAGTATTTTTATTTTTGAACTATTTTTTGAAGAATACTAAATGTTTTAAATCATTTTTATAATAATTTTGCCCATAAAATAATTAAAGTGTAGTATATTAATTTGTCGTTGACATTAAAAATCCTAATGTTGACTGTTAAAGATGTTAACTAAGACTTGTGTTTGAACAAAAAAGACAAATGTTAGCTAAATGAATCCAAGTTAAGGTGTAATTTTGCCATGTTTTGAGAGAGAATCGTACTACAGACTTTAAAAAGACAAAAAATTGCAATTTGGGTAAAAAAAAATTGATAATGCATTACAGGTCTAAAGGCCTTTGTTACAATTTTTTTTGAGAGTAAAAGTATAATTTTTTCCTTGTATGATTTAAAAACTCAAAACCTGTGTAAAACTCTCATCCACAAAGCACAACACAATATTCATAAACTCTAAACACAATATTCACACGTGTCCAGTTGATTGTAGTTAATATATAAGTCACACAGAGCATGAACAGCACAATGTTCATGAATGTATAACACAATATCCATAAATTCTCAATATAATCTCCATGCGTGTCCAATTGATTTGTAAGTTAATTGAAATATATAAGTCATATAGACCTAGCATGTATAATACAATGTCCATGCGTGTTCAATTGATCTAAAGGTTAATTAAAATATACAAGTCACGCAGATCATGTACAATAATACAACGTCTGTCTGTGAGTGAACAATACTATGTTCATGAATTCTTAACATAATATCCATGCATGTCTATGCATGGACATTCAGTTGAAAATGTATAAATATCGTGTTATGCATCTTTGGATATGGTGTTATATACTGTTTGCATCATTTGTATATTTTA